GTTTTGTAATTTGACATATTAAATAAATGTTAGAATGAAAGCAAACGTGCGACGAACTCACCGCCATGTTAGCTCCGTGACACGGAAGTTAAATCATGACTCCAGAAACGTAAGACCAATCAAATCGCTCACCGTCAGTGGATGACGTCATGAGACGTGTACGCAAAGAAATAAATCCGTGCCCATGTCTATGCTTGTATACTGTACATGTATTTTTAATTTACAACGTTTACTTTATTTTAATATCTGTATTGAATAAAAAAAATATATAATATGTTTCCTCTGACTTAAAAATGTTATTTTTCTAACAATAATTTTCACAATCAAATGTTAATATTTTGTGTTGCTCTCATTACGTTGGGCTATACCACATCAGAACAAAAACATACTTCCTCAATAACAAAAGGACATTTTAAACCAAACGACACATATATTTTATTTATTTATTTATTTTTTATTCTACTGGTGGAGTGGGAGCTCTGCTCTTCTAGATCAGTCACAGGGCAGAGTCTATTTATAACCTTGACCTGAGAACCAGTTGGTGTGTTGGGTTGTGAAGTGGGACACAGATATTAGGCTTGGCTGTGTTGACATGGCCGGAAAAACTGACACTGAGCAGGAGTCTGAAAGCTGTCGACTGAATCCTCTCCCTCAACCAGAAAACAAAGTTGAGCCGGATGAATCTGCCCTCTGTGTTGAAGCCTCAGAGCCTGACACAATTCCTGACGCTACCTTGCAGGTGGAAGGAGAGAGCTTTTATGTCAGCCGACACCATCTGGCACTCCAGAGCCCTTACTTCAGGGCTCTGTTTTTTGGCTGTGGCGTGGAAAGCAACAAAAGGCATGTGGAGATCAAAGGGGTAGAGCTGCAGCACTTTAAGGTCTTGATGGAGTACAGCAAGACACACAGACTAGATCTGAAGAGAGAAAATGTTCTGGGAATCCTGGAAACGGCAGACTTCTTGCAGCTGGAGCGACCCAGGCTGCTGTGCTGCAAGTTCCTCGAGCGTGAGCTGCACCTCACCAACTGCTTGGGAATGATGGCCTATGCCTGGCAGCTGGGTTGTACTCAGCTATACACCGCGGCACGACAGGTGGCGCTCACACATTTTTCTGCAGTTTCCTCCCAAGAAGACTTCCTGTGCCTTTCAAAGGAGAGATTAGCGGACCTTCTTGCCAGCGATGACCTGGCCATCTTCAGAGATGATCAGGCCCTGGAGGCCACCATGCACTGGGTGTCATCTGACCCTAAGCGAGAGGAACATTTCCTGGAGCTGATTGAGCTGGTGCGACCCGAGTCTCTCTCTTTACCTTTCCTTTCTAAGCTTTTGACCCAAATGAAAAGTTCTGACCCCAGAGCCAGACTCATCAGCAAGCTCAATGAATATTTTCCACCTTCTTGGTCAGTGGGAAGGTCAGTGAGGAGAACCAGTGCCAGCGAGACTTTGTACATCCTGGGTGGACCTCATGATAAGGAAGAACAGGCTCTGTATCAGTTTCACCCTCAGAGTGGTAGATGGCAAAGCTGCTCACCTCTGCAGAGAAAGAACCTAACTCAGTACTCAGTCGCAGCAGTGGGTAATGTTTGTGTGATAAAATTGTAACGACTGTTGTCTTGTTGATGAGTACACAAAAATTAAGGCAGAATATTTATAAGATGTACAGCATCTTCCTTGGATCTGTGCCCTTGTAAATTTTTTTATCACACTGGAAACTTCAATGTATGTTATAGGTATTATTAAAGCAACACAAGGTTATGCATGATTATGAAGTGAAGGGATGATGATTGATGATTTTCTTACACTAATAACACTTTGTAGAATCTGCTTTGGCAACCTACCAGCTGCAATTCTTGTGAAGTACTGTACACACAGTGAATACAATTATTGCCTATTCTTCTTTGCAAATAACTAACATAAGTTTAACTTAACCTTAAATGACACATGGGTGAACTCTGTTTACTCCTTGGATAATTTCAGAAGAAAATTTATGTGATTTTAAGTATTAGAGTAAAGAGAGTTGCATACAAAAGCATGTTACAATTTGAAAACCATTTTACATTTTCCTTTCACGTCATAATCATACACTTCTTGGTGTTGGTTTATTTGATCAAATCCCAATAAAGGAAGCTGAAGTATTGGTTGTAAAGAGACAATATATAAAAATGTTCAAGGGGCACTGTTAAGAAATTGTTTTAATTCCTTTACATGAAATGTATAAAAGTGCATTACAGACTATTACTTTCTACTGGGATTTTTGTTGATGAATTTTCTAATTTTCTCAGGTGACAATGTAGTCGTCACAGGTGGCTACTTCCGGGACGTGCTGTGGTTCAGTGTGGACTGGGTCAGGATATACGAATGTGGGAACCAGCGCTGGCTGGATGGTCCGGCCATGCAGAAATCCAGACACAGTCACTGCTCCATTGGACTGGATTCAGCTGTGTATGTGCTGGGCGGCAGCATGGATGAAGGCCTCGTGGCTGACGTAGAGAGGCTGGTCCTGGGGTCAGAGGAGGGCTGGCAGGGGGTGAACCCCATGGTCAGGGCAGTGGAGAGGGCGGCCACAGCTGCTCTGGGAATGTGTATTTATGTTGCATGTGGTCTAGATGAGAACGGGGATGTGTATGCAGGAATTCAGAGATATGTGGTGAAGGAGGACCAGTGGGATGTAGTCTCCAATTCACCGTTTCCACGGTGAGTAAACTTGACTCCTCAGATTATGCTTCTCACATTTCTAAACTGAAATGATTGAAGAAGAATTATATTTCAAACAGGAAAGAAATGTTTTATTTTTATTTTTAAACTCTCTTTCAGGTACGACCTGGTTGCCACTGAGCTCAATGGTGCCCTCTACCTGTTTGGAGGCCAAGCCCTGCGTTTTGACATGGAGACTGATGAATGGACGATACTCGAAGAAGAGTGTTTGGAGAGAAAGTTTTTTTGTGGCTGTACCAACGTCAGTGGCCAGATCTATCTAGTCAGCGAGAGGAAAAGCAACAAAGCATCCCCAAACATGGTGCTGTTGGACCCGTACATAGACACTTGCATTCAGATAGAAGATGCCATACCCTGCCCTTTGCCCCTTAGAGGATGTGTCACCATGAGGATGGTCATATGATCTAATCTTGTTAAATAAAATGATACATCTGAAGTTTTTATTTTGTAAAACTGATCTAAAAGTGATTTATACTAAAGAATATTTCAAAAAATATTAATTCCCCTTTAATCCCTTTACATTCTGACAACAATAACTTCTATGCTTTTTATTGGAATTTTTTTGATAGACCAACATAAAACTGCAAATAGCTTGAAAGAAAATTATACGCTGTTGTCAAAAACTTTAAAATCTGGTGACTTGGGCGTGTATTTGTATTCACCCCCAATCAATAAGTGTTAAAACAAACGTTCACTGCAATTAAAGCTTGTGGTCTTTTGGAGTATATGCATACCAATATTTTGCAATTCTTTTCAAAAATAGCTCAAGTTCACTCAGATTGGAAGAAGAATGTCTGTGAACAATAATTTTTACATCTTGCTGCAAGTTTCTAATTGGATTTGACTAGGATAACAGATAACAGAATACAAATACATGCAACCCTTTTCATGATTTACTTGCAAAAAAAGTTTGAAAAGACAATTAAGTGGCAATGCAACACCCTTTATGTTTAGTAAAGTTCATAAAAATAAATAGAAAAGAATAGCTTTTCTATTTGGACAAATAAAAGCATTGTCTGACTTATTAAATACGGATCATTTATTAAACTTTTCAACAAGCCACTGAGTTAACAAAACGTCCATGTGCACTCACTACAGAACAGTCAAGAGTAACCGCTTTATAAATGTATTAAAACAATAATTTAATAATATCCAATAAGATCTCAACGCATGTACACCATTCAGTGAAGCAGCCCTTTTTATTTTAACCTCCCCTCTATAATATTTACACTGTACAACTTTCAGATACAGTAGGAAAGCAGCAGATGTGCCATGTGTGCACAGTGAAAGCAGCCAGTCATTTTAGAGAGCTCCAGTGAACGTATGAAAGTATGTCAGTGTTTGTCTGTGGCAGTGGAGACACCGGCTTGTGCACTTCACTGGATAAATGCATGCTTGGTTCTATCAGTAAGTTACTAATGCCAAATGGAAACGCTTCTCTTCAACTGAGACCTTTAAACTGAGCAGCAAGTGTCTCCGAGTGGACGCGTTTTGTTATGATGTATGCAAGATATTTTGACCAGTCACATCACTCACAGTTGAATGTTTGTCCAGTAGAATTAAAAGCACCAGTACAAAGACTTCATTCATATGGTAAGTTAAGTTCATGTGGTTAGTGTAAAACCAGCAGCTTAAGGAACAAAGTAAAATGCCAGCTCAAACTACAACAGCAAACCCCAATGTTGCTTCCTTGACAATAAACCGCCGCCCCCACCAAAACAAAACAAAACAAAAAAAAAAAAAACAAGTATAGTTGAAGTAAACATCTTCAGAAGCAGTAACATTTTTGCAGTGTCATACATTCACAAAAAAATCCCTCTTGACAAGTATATGCGTTTTCTGAAACACCAGGGGGCGACATATGTCTAGTAAAGAAATAGGAACACAGAATTGAATCAAATATTACTAAAAATATGAACTTTAGAACTGCTATGGAACTTAGGTGGTTTCCAAAGAGCTTCCTGTCCTATGACCTGTATTTTATATTAAATATGTACAGATAACCACAAAGATGTGGAGGAGGATTAAAATAAAAAAACAATCCTTACATTTGTCCCATTTAAATATATACCTTAATAAACAACAATTATATTTCATATAAAACCTTCAGCGCTTCAAAAATAAAGAAAAAAGGGGTCTCTCTCTCGCCTTCAGATATTTACAAACAAGTTATTACAATAAAATGCAGAACATAAATACAAGATATGTACAAACTACAGTTAGATGTGAAATACATTTTACAGTTTCCTTGTTCTGACAGATTTATTAACTGATTGATTTTGTCTCCTGTAAGTCTCAGATTGGTTGTAAATCTCTACCATAATTCATGAATAGATTCTCTACTTTGTCACAAAAAAAAAAAAAAAAGGATTGTGTCCTACCCTGATCTGAAACGGTTAATGATCTATGTTGATACAAAGCAAAAGATTGAGTTTCTCTCCAGCGAGCAGGATGGGGGGGAAGGTCCACTATCTGGCTTTACGCAGCCTGATGTTTAGATTCCTCTGGTTGGTCAGGTTGTTTAGGACACAGTTGTTTGCCAGGGATGTCAGCTTGGAGTTGATAGTCTCCTTCCTTTGCTTGTAGTTGCGCTCACCCTCTTTTCCTTCTGGCTCCTCTTCTTCTCCTTCTTCTTCATGTTCATCCACCTCGCTTTCCTCATCGCTGCGTTCGTCTCGCTCCACCTGCATGTAAAACGTAACGGCCATCAGCGTTTCTCCGCCCAGCACCTCCGTCACATTGCTGATTTAACGACACTCACCTTGCCCGTGAAGACAAACTTGTACAACATGCGCAGAATGAGGTAGGCCCAGAAGATGTGCAGACCTTGCAGCACTAACAGCAGAACGTTGAAGAAATAATAACCAAAGAAAGGCTGGAAAAAGTCACGAGACAGCACCATGGTGGTGTGGACAATTCTGAAAAATCAGACACAATGTGAAGACACAGTCAGTGAGACAAAGTCTGACGTTTCACCACCTGAAATCTCACAATAAAAACCCCAAAATACAAATCTGTTACATTTAGTTTTACTTTTTACTATGTCAATGACTAATAAATAAATATATGTATTTAAAATGTAACATTTAAGTCTCTCACTTCAATTTCACTAACCATACTTATTTATGAAGGTTTGAAAAAAAGCCTAAGATATAATGTTTTTTTCTGATCTCAAACTGAACAATTGAGTATATTTATTTATAGATACAAATGTTTCATATTAGATATTGATCATTAAGAGTAGGTAAATTAGAAGATCTCTTATCTTTCCAATTTTGTAAAGAAACATAATGTGTTTATCATGTAGAAAAATAATGTTATTACATAAAACTTCCTCGACACTCTGATCAATTTTAAACATACATGTTCCAAAAACAATGTTTTTGTTGCATTTATTTTATGCAAAAAAAATTGAGTGCTAATAAGTGCAGCTTTCAAAATTTTATTTGTGACTTCTACTTCTGGATATGGTATTTCTACGCCCAGAAAATAGATCTATTTCAATTATAGGTTTGATTTTAATCATGTTTTAATGCATGATTATGCTTTCGGATTAAAAGATACATTCACTATCATCATAAAACTCACATGATGGCTTACAGAAGTATTTGTTAATTAGTTGCATTACCTCTGAACATTTTAACTCTACATGTGTTACAACATCTGTTTAGTTCATGTTTTTTTTTCCATGTCAGCTCCGATATATTTTTTATGCCACAATTGACTTCACAGTAAAGGAAAAAGTGACATGCAGTCTTACCTGCAAGGAAAGACCACAAGTCTTGTAACCAGGAAAACAACAGCAAATACGACAAACAGCGAATCACATGTCGTTGTCCACACCGCATAATGAAACATCTTGGCAGACTAGAAAAAAAGAGAGCAGACAAATGTATTTTTACTTGTTAAGTAATATAAAAGTCCAATTTTGTAGTAAAGTAAAAAGTAAGTCCAATTTACTAAATTTATACTTAATTACTTTCTAAATTTATACTTAATTACTTTCTAAGTAATTAAATTAAGTTAACTACTTATTTTTACTTAATTTTAAAAGAATGAATTACAACTAGTCTCAGGGCGTGTTAACAACCATATAGAAGGAACCACTGAGGAAATATTATTTGTTCATGATACAGCATTTTGCACTGCAAAGGAATTAACTAGAAGTTAAACACTAGGCACATTGATCTTCAGATTGTTCTTTAGCGCTCCATTGCTTCGTATTGGAAAATAAACAAACACATGCTGACAAATTCAACTTAATCTGCAGACAAAACCCCTGACATTTCAGGGCAGTGATTCAGATGGTCTGTTGAGAATTTTCAAAGATTCACCACATGGATGAAAGCTGAAAAGAAGCTTGGCATTCACCGCTGAGAGTTGTCAAGATACCCAAGCGGCTACTTTCCAGCAATGCGGCTGCACTTCCTCTTGGCTCAGTTGTAGAAAATCTAATTGCTGACGGGAGGCGAGCCAATCATGAATCTTTCAACAAAAGCGCCTATTTCTGATCAGTCCTTTTCAAATGCAGATGCATGCACCTCCTTCAGTTTGACTACAAAACGAGCCAACTGAAACGAGGAAAGGGTGAACAAAAACAGAGCGGAGGACCGCTCAGGGTATATCACTTGAATTTAACAAATCAGTAGATGCAAAAGTGCATAATCATAGAACTGAAGTTACTTAAGTAACAGCTAGGCATTTCTTCTTCTTTGACATACAAGCTTTGGGTTGCCCTCATCTATTCTGCCGACTTGTCTTGACTTAAGTTTTGTAGTTGCATTGGGTTGGAGCAGAGAGTATGCAGCTGCAGGAATAAGACTGGAGCTTGCAGTCTATCCCAGATATCCTGGGTTTTGACCAGTGCTACCATGCCAAAAATGTTGCTAATTTCCAGAAGTTCAAATTAAAATGTCAATTCCACAGAAAGAAACAGGACGATTTTTGATACTTCACCTGTCATTGACCATCAAAATGAAATTTGGTTTAAAATGGAAGAAGTAGAGTCAGGGGCGCAACTACATATTATTCAGGTGGATGTCAAAACATAAATCGGCGCCACCCCACCCCCCCTCTCTTTCCCTCTCTCCAAAGGAAGGTACGTAAGGATGAAGGAGCGCAGAAGACATGTTTACTGCGCTCAAAACGAGCCATTTGAAACCAAGGACAAAGTCTTGTTGACAGCGGCAGGTTATAATTCTTTCAACAAATCCCTTAAGCATACAAAAATAATATGTTTATATTATACACAGGTGATTTTTAGGACTTTTTTGTTTGCAAAGTCTTTTCAGAATGTCTTAAAACAACAAGGAAACTTTAGCAAAAAGTACACAAGAAAACTTTCCTGTGATCTTTGTGAAGGTAATGAACTGCCAATCAAGTGACTGTACTTGCATTTTTTTAATGCTTCCTTTCCTTTTGCTCCACCTCAGACAGGTATCTGTGTTGAGATGTAGATAAAACCTGACTTTAGGTGCTAGTGAAAGGCTTGGCTACCGCTCTGAGCTGTGTGTGGCGTTTTACCTCCAGCAGGAAGTCGGACGAATCATGCACCAGCATCACTAGCGTGCCAACCCTCACATAGTTGGCGGCGTAGGAGAAACCGATAAGAAATATGGTGGCGATATGATGAACCACCTGCTCCTTGAAATCCTGAAACAGGTGCACAGAAAATATTATAAATGAAAGTTCTAATGTGAAGTTATTAATGCAGAAAAGTGCAGAAAAATGATACATTATTTCAAAACAACAGTTTGAAAAGTGGTCAATAAGACAAACATTTCTACTAAACAAAAGTAAAATACATTTTTCAAGTGTGGAATTAGATGAGCAGGAAGTGTGACAGTGAGACAAAAAGCTAAATATATGTGCTTTCATTGCGTACAGGTGAAAGTGCTTTTGGGTCAGGCTCTTACTTTACGCTTGACATCCACAGAAACACTGAGCAGCAGGGACAAATAGAAACTCAGCTCCAAGATGTAATACCAGTAGTGAGCGTCCGCCACAGGCTGAAGAATGAGAGGAAGAGCTTCACAATGTGCAAACATTTACATTCACAGAGCCTTTCAGCTTTATCTGCCCAGTCAGAGGAACTTCATAGTGTGCAAAGGCATTCACACCCCTTGAACTTTTTCACATTCGGTTGACGTCACAGCCAAAAATATTTCATCAGAATTTAATGTGTTTGAAAAACAAAAAGTAGAACATATTTGTGAAATGGAAGGGAAACAAAAAAAATGTTTTCCCTTTCCCACTGCATGACACTGCCACCAACATGTGTGACAGTGAGAATAGTGTGAACAATTTGATGTGAAGTGTTGATGTTTCACCATATATTGTAAATTTGGTTTCATCTGAATAGAAGACCTTCTCCCTCAGGTTTGCTGCCTGAATATGTTTTCAAGGCACTGGGCATGCAGCAGCAAAACAAATGCACTTTCTCAACAAAGCTATTTAGACAGAATCTAAATAGCTGAGAGTGGAGAATGGGGTAAATAGGACACCCAGGAACAACAGATTTCAAGAGGAGGAAACATTAATTGCCCATTTGGGACTCAAGTAAAAATAAATCTGAATCTGAATCTGAGTAGACATAAAACATACAGAAAAATCAAAACACTTCTTGCTCTGATGTAAGAGATTTATGAACATTATTCCCGTTGTGCGCAGAACAAGAGGACGTGTTTCATTCAAAGGAAATTGTGGCGCACTATCTCAAGTAAAAAAAAAAAAAAACTTGCACAGCATTCAACACGGAGTGTTTGCAGAAACACAATAGTAGGAAGCGAATGGGAACATTCAATCCTCAGAACACATTCTTTATCGCCAAAGAGGGTTCGGACAACTCAGTGCAGCGCAGTGTGGAGCAGCGTGGCCTGAAGTCTGAACTAAAGATACAGAAAGCTGTGACTTTTTCTTTTCTACTGCTTTCTATTCAAGGTCATGAACCCATGAAGAAGGGCGGACTCCAGGAAGGAATGGTGACATGCGTGCATACCGAGCTGTCATCGCTCCACAGATATTAGCTTTAAAACAGTTTAAGGGAGTCTAGACGTAGGAAAGCAGGTTGACGCTGAAGGAGGGGAAGGAATTTTGATAAAAGTCAGGAGGAAGATGTGTGCTAACCTGTTATATGTGCAAAACGTTGCATTGTTGGATCTCTAAGACCAATAACTACATGTAAAATTATGACTATTTCTTCTGAAGTCACTTAGTAAAAAAAGTTTATTACATTTTTTTGTTTGATGGTAAAACTGCTCGTCAAAGATTTTAGATAAACAGAAAAAGCAAAAATGTTAGTTTTACTCTTTAATCAAAATAAAAGTTACTACAACCAATCAGTTTGATTTTATTAAATAGAAGTATATGTTTGAGCAAAAGATTGCTACATTTTCTGTCACGTTAATTCTGTATTGCACAGGCACATTATCCAAGACAATGTTGTACTGTTGTTTTTTTCAGCTGCTCCCTGCAGCGATTGCTCCAACAGATCATTTTCCACCATCTCACCGTGTCCCACATCAGTCCTCTACTTGTCCTCTTTCCACATGTTCAGGAACTGTCCCTGTAAACTTCTGCTATTCCTCTTCCTTTGCAGTTTCTATTTAAACCCATCTGTTCAATAAATCCATTGATCTTCCTCTGCACATCCCACAACCGTCTCAGCCTTTTCTAACGTCACTGAACTGATCTGTCCATTTTAGTTCCTGTCTTAGCATTTTCAGCTCTGCCCCCTCCTGCTTCACACTCTTCTTTAGCTGCACCGCCTCCAAATTATATGTCATAATGGTTTTCTTTCCACACTACAAATCTCCTCTAATGCATGTCTCTAACCCCTCCGACCTGCTTCTGTGTCCTCGTCTCCACAGTGAAAAATGCTTTGGATGGAACTTTAAACTCATCTCCTCTCACCACATGTACTAACTAAAGCTTAACTTTAGTTCCCCCTTTCTCAGTTCGGTTTATTTATATACACTCAGTTCATAACAAATGTCGTACCCAGGCATATTATAAGACAGACGTGTCCTATTCCTACCATATATTCAGATCATTCCAACAAAGTTCAATCGTACTGTATCCTTCCCAATTACACGCAGTAACAAGGTGCTTTCTGTTTATTCTATAAACCATAATGCAACATATTTTAGACATTTTCTGTAAAATGTTGTAATCAATGAAAATGAATATTTAATTGACGGTTATAATAACAATAAGTGGACCGACCCTAAATAAAAGCTGGACCATCATCACTCACACAGTTGGTGTCTTGCTCTCGTACAACAACGCTGGCCATTAGAACCAAGTCACTCTACTCATGCAGCTTATTCATAGCCGCTAGGATTACTTTTTACTCTAAATAGTCTGCCGAGTTATAGTTTTTAACAAATCACATTATATTTGACACAGTGCTGCAGAAAATATGTTAAATGCAAAACTTCTATGCATAACAATGTGTCCTGCTCACCTGTTTGGGATATCCTCTCCAGCACTCTTTGTGATCCCAAAACCAGGGAGTCTGGCAGAACCAGGAAACATTCATTCAATACAACTCTAAAGGTAGTACAAAGTTAAAGAATACATAATTGCCACTTAAAAATAGGCTGACAAACTTACATCAATCAGTGAGCCGAGTCCGGCGGCGAAGGAGACGAGGTAGAACGCAAACCGCCAGCTGCACACATTGATAATCATCTCTTAGAGGTTTAAACATTTCCATCCAATTGAAAAAAACTGATGGAAAAGTTTACACTTTGTGACACTGAGTCTGCAATATTACAATTTAAAACACATCAACAACAAGTAAAAGAAATACAATGGAAATCCTACAGACAATGAAAAACCCTAAACTTAAGGAGCTCCAGATGCTTAGCTGGTTATTTCACTCATTGAATCAAGGAAAAGAAAAAGAGTGACTCACGATGCCTCACAGAACTTCTTTGTGTTGCTGGGCTTGTCCTGGTTCCTTCTGTGTCTGAACCAGGTTTGAATCTTTCTTTGAGAGAGTCCACACTGCCTGCCCAAGCTCACAACTTGACTCTAAACACACACAAAGAGCCAGTTTAACACAACGTTTCATTTTTCAACTTAATCTACGCACTTCTAGCCTCTTAGCGCTCCAGCTAACAGTTGTGCTACTTAACAGTTAGAGTAAAAGGTCTAAATATTTGTTATTATTACAAACTTTTATTCAGAATTTACAACAGATATTTCTACAGTGGCCAGACTCCAACAGGGATCAACTTATTGGATGGATGAATTTTCTCTTTTTTATAGTCATCCAGACTTTTCCAGCCTGCACTAGTTTGATCCCTTTAATCATTTCAAAGTGGAGCATCCCTAAAGAGGGAGAAGTGCTGAATGTAAACATTTGTGCTCTGCTGAGTCAGAAACGAGAGTGGCTCACAGCGCTGTCAGAGTGATGACGCCTCCCTCTCCTTTTCTACACCCTGATACTTTGCACCAGCTTCTGTTACAGCTAAAAGGTCTGAGCAGGGTGAAACTTAATTACAAAGGTTAAGAGATGTTATTCTCAGTTAAAGCAGAAAGGGCACTACATTTGTCTTGTTTAAATGGACTATTTCTTTTTTTTTTTTTTTTACATCTGCTGTCACAACTTGTAATATAAAACAATTTGGAAGTTAGGTATCTCTTAAAAGCATGCTTTTTAAGAAATATGTTTATTGTAGAGTGCAGGCAGAAATGAAAATGACAGAACAACAAAAATCCGCTGCTTGCTCAGCAGCACACAGGAAAACAAAAGGATTGCAAATAGGTCAGGATATAATTTGATTGTTTGTGGCTGGACAAACTGCAGACATGTTTTCATGTACCCAAATATGCGGCAGACAGGGCTGGGAAAAATCCCAATTTATGGGTCAAGTCATGTCTTGTTCTGGAAATTCACAGCTGTGCTTGTTAGGACAGGAACAGCGGTGCTGGTATTACACCTGTTCCTGAAACACGTGGAGAATTTCCTTGTGAAACACACACACCTTCGTTAAAAAAATGAATCGATGCTGTCAATTTATTGCATTGATAACATTTTCAATACTTAAAAACATCTCTGTTAGCAAAATGCACAGCCAGTCTGGCACTCTAAATGTTTAAAGACAAAGCCAGATTCAGCTCTGAAAAGCGTTCCTTTCTTTCGAGTAGAGGAACAAACGTTACGTAGTTCCCAATAGAACCTCATGCCATGTTTGAGTCATATTGAAAATACTAATTTTCCCTGAGAAACTTCCGCCTGTCAGCTGCTCCCTCTTCAGAAATGAGGAAACACAAAGCTTACAAGTGAGGCAACCATGCATCAACGTTCACATCACATGTCTCTATTTGCTAATTGCTGCCACCGCCATCAAATTTCAGTTCAAACGTCACCGTGTGCACTCCGTCAGTCTTGTAAAAGAAGATGATCCATTATGTCAGATTAATTTACTTAAAAAATGTCTTAACAGGTTTAACAGGTAGAAGAGGCCTGGGAAAAATTCCCTTTAACATTTGCATCTTGTCCACAGCAACTACTGTTCAACAGAAATCTTTTTTCTGACCGTCTTACTTCTGTTCTTTGTCTTAAAAGTGCAACCTTTTAGTTAATTATTTGGTATAATTAGATATTAAAAGGCTAGAACTATTTAAAATAGGGCTTTCTGCTGTTGCATTGCTGCTATGTGGCACAGTTGGCATACTTTGCAGCAAGAAGGTTCTAGATTCAAATCCCAGCCTTGGGGTCTTTTTGCATGGCGTTTGCATGTTCTCGTCCATGCGCTGGCTCTCTCCAGGTACTTTGGCTTTATCCCACAGTCAAAAACATCACTGTTCGATGATATTGTTTTCTAAAAATTGCTGTCAGGTGTGAGTGTGTGTTTGCATGATTATTTGTCCTGTGTGTGTCCGTGTTCCTAGACTGCAGGGTTTCCCCCAGAAAACCTGCTAAGCCCAGTGTTCATGGCAGTCATCCAGCCACCCACTGTGTTTTTGAGTTAAAAATATTTGAAAGAAATTGGGAAGTATCATTTCATAGCTATGCATTTTTGGAAGACTGGGAGATTAATACCTAAACACCAACGTCTTTAAAAAAGGCAATTATATAAAAAAAAAAATACTAATAAATGAACAATGCTAAGTCTGGTGGGAGCACAAGTCAAACCTGGTGGCCCACCAGGCTTATAATAGACTGGACTGACAACTTGTCCAGGGTGCACACTGCCTCTTGTCCACTGACCCCAGGAAATAGGCAATTTTTCATTCTCGAGCTGCGCTTCAATTGCAAATGTGCCCATAACTTTGTCAATATTCTGCTAATGTTGAAAAAAAAAATTTGGAACTGTGGTGTTTCCATTAAGCAAGAAACACAATTAAAATCACATGTGAATAAGTTCGTTCACACAATGTCATTAAAAAACATGCAGCGCCATCGTCCTCCAGCCGCATCCTGTCATTCTCTTCATCTCTCCTGGCGGTAACATCCAGTTGTTAACCAAACGACTCGTCTGATGAGAAAAGTGTTTCCATTGCAGTTTTGCAAAAAACACAAATTTTGTTACAGTCGAAAAACCGCCCCATCCGCATGTCCACACCCAGAACAGTGGACATGCTTTCTGATATGAGATGACGGTTTGGGATTTCTCCCACCTGGATGCTCCAGCATGGCTTATTGTTTTTTGTGCTTTGTAAAGTGGAGAGAATGAATAAGGAGGAAGAGGAGTACAAACCTGTGATGGTTGCCGACTGACGTGTTCGTAGAAGGCCTCCAGCTTTGGGATTGGAGGAGCTCGAATCCGAATCCGATCCTTCACACCTAAACACTTGCTAAAAGGAATGGCGATGATTCTGAGGACAGAAAACAGAAAATCATTTTTTTAATATATTGTAAAACTTAATGCACAACAAAGAAGACAATTTTTGGATAAGCTGTAACTCAGACATGACCAATGAGAGCCATCAGCCACACCAGCTGCCCAGTGTGGATCTGCGATACACTACAGAGCAGGGAAACATGATAGCTTATTATGCAGCTCCTGACAGCTTGTGGAGCTGTGCCCATCGGTGTATTGCGACATTTGGCAAGATAGCCTTAGTAATTAGCTGATATGGCATCGAGAGATGCCGTATCAGCATCTCAACACGTCCACTTGTTCTGAACGTGTTTGTGAGTACATGAGTAGGTCAGAGAGAATCAGAGAGATAAGACAAGCAAGAAGAACAATGAGAGTTTCTGAGAAGGAGCGAGATGTTTTGACAAATAGCCGTCTCTGTGCACAGTTCGGCAGTATAATCACATGTGTAACTCTATCTCAGAGATAATCATCACAAAGCGAGGATGAAGGGACAGATCAGGGAGAGAATGAGAAGGTCGGCTTGGCTTTGTGCGGAGCCGCACGGTCTCAGATTACAGGAGCACATAACAAACACACAGACATGTGGTAAGCTCAAGACAGAAAACAGCTGCAGCCTGAGAAGATCGAATGAAGAACCTCCTCATCCATCATCAGGGACTAAAACAACCCAGATGCCCGTCACAACCAAAACAGACGCACACCCACACACGCACGAGCTGGTAGCAATATACTTCTGCCCTCCTGTTACCCATGCAAAGCTAATGTTACTATCCTCTGATATTAAATACCCTATGAAGGTTCAGCTGAAGGCAGAGTGCAACAGCATGCCACATTTCACTTCAGGCAGTTCAGATCATGAGGCAGCTGATTAGAAAAAGCATTCAAAAAACGTTACTCCTATCTGATCGACTCTCACGTGTGTCAGCATCTAGTCGCTTTCACACTTGACCCCAGAAGGTTTCAGTATGACCTGCCGCAACAAACTTATTTATCTTTCTGTCCAGTCAGTATTTTCATCACAATAAACTTAATTGGGTAAATTGTTATTTTTGAAGAGAGGTATTGCTAAAACATTGCAAGAAGCGAATATCTAACCTGCAGCATAACTTTGGGTGTCAGCATTTTGTAGTGTAGCGGTACACAAAGACTAAAGTTAATGGTTAACCAGGGAGGCCAAGACCAAGGCAGATTTCAATCATCTTAAAACAACAGAAATCACAAAAAAAATCTCTGAGGTTCATGCAAACACTATTTTATGATGTTTTGAACTATCATCAAGTTTGCACTGAGCGGTTATTTTACCAGAGGCCGGCGGGTATTTGCACGCAAAGTGCAGGATGGAAACACATACAGAGTTTAAAACATGTTGAAGCATTTCCAGACAGACTATCTATCTGATACAAAAGTAAAACACTGTAAAGTAAATGTTTAAGTAAATACTATTTATTGATTTTTACACTGCCTGGATTCTGTTAGCTTTTAGCCACTGAGGGGAATGAAGGGGTCACATTAGTTGTCAGGAGGAATTTGGCACACTAAACTTTGAATGATGGGAAACAGCACATATGTAAAGGCAGGAGTTGTGCCACCATGACACAGGACTGTCCATAGAGATTATGGATGCAAAATTATGGTTAGCATTTCCAGAAATAGCAGTGATTTATTGTTTCAGGTTGGTGGAAGCTCGCTTTTGGTCTTGGCCCTAATTGAACCAAACATCATCATTAAACAACAAGAGGGTTCTCTACCCCACAAATTACATAAATTGCCTACAACATTTTAGGATGACCTACATTAAAAAACAAAAACTATAACTTAAGCTTTTAGGTCTTGACCATAAACACAGGAAGACGACTGGAAGGCCATCTTCTTTCAAACCATCCATACTTCATGCACGTCACCGCATCTCTCATCTGATCTGCTAAAGTTCATGTTGTTAAGAGTTTAATATATTATTTCGTAATCATTCTTACTGTATAGCGTCTCTCTGTAATGCTTCTGATCAACAGACTAACTCTCAGCTGAGACCAAAGTGCCAACCTCTTAAACCAAAGCCAGACTGCATTACAAAGCATGATGATAGACATGAATGGAGCCTGTGGTAAACCTGTGGAATGGACGGACGGCCACAAGAATTTAAAAGATCCATCAGTATCCATTCTGTTCCAATGCAGGCATAATAAAAAGGGACATCTTTTATGTAATGTAATGTACTTTAAAAATAAAAGAAATTAACATGTTGAATACTTTTGAAAGGGATTAGTAACTGACATTACTAATATACTAAAAAGTGAAAAACTACAGTTTGAAATGTATTAATCTAAACTTGAAGATGCAGCTGACCACCTGGTGACTGGAAAAGTTTTTAGACTTTTACCTGGAAGTCTCCATAGGGATCAGTGAGAAGCTCTAAAGGTACTTGGACCTACATTAAACCACAGTCACTTCCTGTATTCTCTAAGAAGCTGCATAGGCATTTTCAGTAGACATCATCAGCTATCTTTAGCTTTAGTAAAAACTTCTCCTACTAAAGCAACATTCATAGAATGCATCCACGCCCTGTTTTATATATCGTGAATGAGAAGACATGGCTAACTGCTGTAAGCCTAACCCATCCATCTTCATGACACATACCTAACATCAATTTAAATTCACAAGCACAAGTGCTGACATCCTAAAGGCTTAGCAATAGTGATATCTCACCTTTCAAATACATATCTTAAGGCTATAAAGGCAAAGGCCAGTGGCAACGTGATGAGGAGATCCCTGGGCATAGGAAAACGGCCGTCCTCATCCTTTATCTCGATGTCCTGCCAGCGGATGCCAGGAGGAAGCCAGTACTGCTCCTGCCACAGCCACTCGTTCAACATGGCCACCATCCTGAGAAGAGGAGAAGAAGGAGATGCTTTTGAACAAGAGAGCTTCTGGACTTCCAAAAGATATTCCTAATTAGGGCAATAAATCAATAACAAGATCTATTGCGATAGAGATGTAATCAATATCAATTGATGGTATGTCTGATAGAATGTTCAATAATCCATGGAATATTCACTTGAACTCTAAACCAGAACTGCATGGCATTCTGGTCGATGTAGGCAGAGGAAAGGTTCCAGCTGCTCAACCTTTTACAGCCAGATAAGCAAAGTTGGTGGCAGCAACTAACTCACTCTTTGGTTACCTGGCAATAACCTGTTTATTGGTAACAGGAGTAACTTGCACAGCACCAGCTTCAGGTTTGCCTCATAACTGCTTAAAACTAAACAGCACTGAGTGAAAACTGTGGATAGAGGGGAAAGGTCATACCACCAGTTTGGCAGTATTTCAGATATTGAAAACAAAAACACTAATCAATAATTATTGATATTGACAATTATTGATATCACCTGAAATGCTTATATCATGATAGGTTTTTCAACCATATCATCCAGTCCTACTACTCATTCAAATATTAACATTTCTTTTATGGTAACAATACTTTTTAAAGAACATAATTCACACCATTAGTCGTTTTACCTGATTTGGATTTTTATACATGTATTTTATCTAAGGAGCCTCTCCCTCCCCCCTCCCCCAACACACACACCACACACACCCTATGAAGGATGAACAGTAAAGTTTATTGGAAATAAACCCCACACACACGCGCACCCACACACGTAAGCTACAAAACACTCCATAAAAACCAAGCTCTTACAACCGTTTGTAACTAAAAATAAAGTTCACCACTAAAAATATTGAATTCAAAAACTGCATCCTAGCATTTGATTACAATAAAACAAATTCACAATTTCAACCAATCCATATGAGAAATATCCTTATTTGTGCCTCTATCAATGACAAAATACAACCGTAAGGTTTGTATCACTAAATATATAAATTATAATTCAAAAACTATACCCTATGTTTGCATGCAATAAAACAAGTTCACATTCACCCTTATTTACAAAATAAACATACCTTGTGCCTATATTAATTGGGCTGCTAATGACAAGATACATTTTAAAAACACAATTTATTCTGTTCCTTTTTGTCGTTAAGCTGCAATTTTATTAGATATGCAGCGGAAGTTGTCTTATCAAAATCAAAGTATCAAATCCAAAACCGGAAGTCAACTATGTATCATACAAATAAAACGAAGTAAAGGCAACACGCATTGTAAAGGTGATACAACAAACAAGGAGCTTAATTTGGAATTATTTACACGACGATTTTTGAAATTTACACACAAATATGTTGTACTAACTCCCTCTGAGGGGGCGAGATTTAGCGACTGTGACAAACCCGTCCTCCACAAATTTCTGCATCTCATCACATCCTTCACTCCTCCGGCCTGTAATGGGCTGCAGCCTGTGGTTTGGGTTCAAAAGCTGATCCCTAACAGGATTCATACTGAGCGGGTTGCTGCCGCGCATTCTGCACACAAAGCACGACGCAAAGACAGCAGATCAACGTCAGCAAAACTGGAGCGTCTAATGCCGAAACAAGTGCATCAGTTAAAGGATTAAAGCAGCAAAGCTCCTCGGCGCACAGAGAGACGCCCATCCCTCTCATCACCGTTACATCCACCGCCACTAATGACATTTCTCCAACCACGTTTTTTAATCTAAATTATGTTCCAAGAGATTGCAGCATTACGTAGCAGGAAAAAAAAAAAAAAAAAAATGTTGCGCTCACCTGTTCAGGCTCATGATGTGCTGAGGATGAGAAACTAACAGAGGCAAGTGGGTGAGGATGAGGAGGAGCTTGTTTTTACGCCCCCTGCGTCTGCGGAGGGCGGGGAGAGACACGCTGTGTCATCATCAACACTTTATCATCAGCTCTACGGCTTTGACGTTTCGCCACCGTGCGTAAAACCAACAAGCCGCTGACATTACATACCAGCCAAAACATGCCCCACATTCTCATCCCAATGTCAATTGCCTTGCAGAATGCTAGAAATAATGATTTAGATACAGTGCCTCGCAAAAGCATGGCTACTCTGTACAGCTCTTTGATTACATGTGTATTACATCCGGATTTTATGTACCGTAACCAATAGTGCATGATTATGGAGAGGTTTTTTTGTTTTCGAAAATTAAAATATGTGTTCTCTCCAAGTCAATACTTTCAAGAATTGCTTTTCACTGCAATTCAGTTCAAATTCAAAATTAAAATTCACAAACACTTTATCGATGTAAAAGAGAAAAACGTCGCCATAACTCATAATTAAAGATTTATTGTGGAGCTATTTGAAAATGTCAGCCTTAATCTTCAGAAACTGAAATTTTCTCCGTTCCCTTTTGCAGATGCTTAGCCAGATTGGATCAAGATTTCCTGAAAACCTACGATTTTATAGTCTTGCTCCAGATTTTGTGTTTCGGTCTTGACTTGGCCATTCTAAACGTGAATATTTGAACTACTGCAGATTTGAAAATTTGTGCTTCTTTGATTTTTCTTTGTTATTACTATCTTTACCTATGTACAATGCCTGTTTTGTATTTAAAGATGTATGCATGTGGATGGTTGATTGATGCTTAGTTGTTTATTTTATAGTGAATTGACTGGAGAGAATAAATGGACTAAGATTTTTTCTTGAAAAATAGTCCTTTTCATTCAAACCTTTTGTTTATGTCAACATGTGACATGTCCATTTTGAAACTGGAAATGAATGAAATAAACAAATGAGTAAATGAGCAGCACTGAACAAATCTGCTGATGCCTTTGACCTTAAGTAAAAATAACTTCTGCTCTACCCACATTAAGTGTCGGTACAGTCATAATGTTCAGTATGACAAGAGAAGGGGAAATCATTTAATCTCCCAAATCATCTGCTGTCATGCATGATGGTGCACTCGCAATTTTTTCACAGTCATATCAAAATAAACATCATAAGGAAGAATACCTCTAACAGGTTTCAGGAATGAACTCTGCAGTCAACCTTCTGTTTCACTGCAAATACTAGCTGCTTTCTATCAAAAGAATATAAAACCAGAGTTGACCACATCACACACTAATATAAATAGAGTAGAAGTAGTTAATATATATATTTTTAAAGCTTTTAGCAGGAACAATGTATTTTTATTCACTACATTGTGTTCTTGGTCGTTAGGACAAATGGGACTCATTTTGAAGGTTTAAACCGTTTTAGACAAACTTTTACACATTTGCACAGCATGCTTAACACAAAGAAGAAACTGTTGTCACGTGCAGTGATCATGGAGCAGATATCCAGAGCAAGCTGAAAAGATTCTGACTTCTGCTCTTGTGATTGACTATGTCACGCCACCCATACTTCAGCAACACTCACAAGAGAAATGACTCAGGAAGGAAACTCCTCAGGGAAGCTGTTTACATAAATATTAAGTTTAAACTTCCTCTGTTGAGCACAATGAAATAAACGTTCCTGTAGTAAATCCTAGGGTGTGCGCCGACATGTCACAACCTAAGGTAGTAGTGGCCTGTCTAACATAATCATTAATCCCATTAAGGCATAACAGACAATGTGTGAGGGAATTTGCTCGTTATGATGAAGTCTTGATTACCTTTGCTCAGACAGCAACAAACATCGTTGAGTTTTCTGTTGTACTGGAGGTCCAGAAAAAAAGCATTAAGAAAGTTAAGAAAAGTGAAACCTTAGAGCTGTGAGTGTGTCTGGTTTGTGTTGCTAATCCCAACTATCTGGATTCAACACTTTCTACTAATTACCACCCAAAGAGCACAAGTTCACCTAGACTGCTTGGGTTTCACTGTATATTCAGTCAAGTCTGGGAATGCCTGGCACTCTGTACATTTGTTTTTCCTTTTGTGCCGTTCGCAAAACATCATTCTGGCATGTGACTATTGAGATAGCAGCGGTGTGGAGATAAGAAGACTTTTTCTGTCTGTGATTATGAAATTTTTAGAGCTGCATATGACTAATCCTAGAAGTCTAAGCAACATTTTCAGCATTATGATGCACAGATAAGTCATTATTGCTGAGCAGGGGCGTGATTATGTTGTCACTGCTGTCTCCAACGGGGAACAGCCACACATTGCCACTCACCTGGGCGTGTTTTGTTATTCCTGCTTACTCGTCAAGGAAGCTGTCAAGCATCTCTTTTCACGTCACCACAAACACGTTTCTTGTTCCCATGCCCTTTCTTACAGCTCTCATTAAGTCCCTGCAGGACTGGGTGTGGGAATCTCCATGCAATCTATTGTCACACACCTTATGCCACACACATGAATAATTATTTGGTAAATCTATGAGACACAAGTAAGTTGGTAATTTCCTGCTGCCACATTACTTGGTCAAGCATAAACAATTATATACGACATGGTTTATGCATATGATATAATAATGCATTAGCATAATCTCACATGTAAACTATAGAAAAATCTGGGAGATATATGTTTTTTAAAGAAATGCATGCAGCAGAATCACTTGTGGCACAGTGTTGTCGACCCTCTAAACTAAGATAACTGAAGTTATTTCTTAAAATTTGACTGCTTTTTTAGGTTACTTTTGTAGGTTAGGACAGTAGGAAGTAGAAACTATAGTAGTCGGAACTTCATGACTTCCGGGAATCCTGAAATACAAGAAAAGGATGTGGCTTATTTTCACCTCTTTTTGTCACCTGACAGAACCAGGATCCATATTTATCCCACAGTGAGCAGGATGGGAGGGAAGGTTTTTAAAGCTCCCTGTTTGAGAAGTGCAGCAAAGAGTGGCATCTTGTGGTCTACAGATGACCCTAACAGTCATTATAAAAATATCAAGAAACAAAGCATCTGTTGGGGATTTATACATAAAAAAAAAAAAAAAACATTTTCTGTCCTGACATTAACAACATTAACATGAAAAATTACTGTTACCATTTGCTATGGATAAATGAGACAGATTAGTTCAAAAGGTTGTTTGCTTTTCAACTAACAACCTTAATGGCAAAGGTGTCATGGTTCGGGGTTTGGTGAGGTGAGATGAGACGCAGGCAGCCAGGATGAAGGTGAAAATGATGAATTTAATGATTCAGAGTCCACAGGAAAACAGACTTAGACGAGGGTGGGAACACGACGGCACAGGGAAACAGTTACAAATGACGAGGATCTGACAACGAACACAGACAACAGGTGGGGCTAAATACACACAGGGTAATCAGGGGGATACGACACACCTGGGGAGCAATCAACAGGGAGGACAGAGACTCAGGGAACAGGACTACACAGGGAAAACAGGACTGAACACAGAAGAACTCAAAAATAAACACACAGAAACACAGATCACGACAAAAGGATGAACATGCTGGAAAAAAAAAAACACCTCATTACCAATTTAGGTGAATGATCTGTAATGCTTTGAATCTGTTTCTTTTTAATTGTTTCAGAGCATTTTATCAGGGTTTTATCAGTAGCCATCCCAGCTTTTAGTGCAATGGTGATATGAAGCAAATGGCCAATCAGCACAAAAATGGGTAACAAGACAAAATCAAACCTTCCTCCATCATTGTGCCCAGATTTAGTGCACACAATTTGAAGGAGTGCTGATAATTTTAAAACTATAATAATACTTTTCATGAAGTTTGGGTGTGGGTTTACTTCTCCCCACA